AAACATAGCTGAACTGAATTTGCATTGTCTCTTGGAGTTCCTTGGGCTAGGCCTGACAGGTGGGACACCCAGAATGCTATCTAGGTGCTCTCCCGTGGCATTTTGCTATGCCCAGGTGGACCCTCGAAGTCCGTGGTTCATGGTTTAATTGACTCCTTGCTCCAACCAATGGGTTAAGTAGGCAGCCTCTTCTTCTGCCATGCCTGACACTCCAATTCTCCTAAATCGGGGTGGGGTGGGCTGCCTTCTTAAGAACAAGCCAGCCTTGGAACACAGCAGCATCCCCTAGTTAGGCAACCAGAAGATTGCCTTTGCAGTGCCCATGAGATGCTCTTCTGCTTGCAGACCCCTGCTGTCAGCCCTTTGGGGTAGGCCGGGTCAGGAAACAGACAGCACAATAAATCCTATTGATATAGGCTAGCATTTGGAAAGCCTGGCCCCCTTTCCCCTTCTCACTTACACCAAAGAGAATCAAGCCGGGGCAGTCTTGATTTTCTTTCTCACCCCTTCCTGTTTTCCCGGGCTAAGTTCACGTCTTCCTGACAGCTGCCACATATTTCCTTCAAGGCCATCTCCATCCTCCTCTCTATCTCCTCTTTCCCAGCAAGTGCCACTTTGTTACCGAGTTTCCCAGAGCCCTCAATGCCTGTTCAGAAAAAGTTCAGTCCCAAATTCCCCCACTGCCCCTGATATTAGCCAGTTCCTTTCCACTTCCAAAATCCAGAAGTAGGTTCTTCCCATGAACTGCTTGGGGAAAAGGTCCACCTATCCACCCACAGATACACAGACACGTACACACATACACAGGTACAACAATTCCAGAGTTGAAATGAGCACATGAAAAAGAGTTAGTGGAAAGACAGCTGCCCAGAGGTCCTGGTACTTACATTCCCACCTCCAGGGACATGCTTAATATTGTCCTTGGACCCACACTTGGACTGGACGTGGCTGTAGTTCGCTTTTTTGGAGACTATCTGGACCTGGAGCATCACAGAGATGGAGAGAAGGACACAAGGGAAGAGGGCTGGTTAGGTTTCTCTCAAGGGAGTGACACGCCAGAGGGATGGACGGACAGACAGACGGAGCGCAAGCTGGTGTTAGGAATTCAGTCTGACTCCGAGGGTTAGGGATGACCAAACTCAGACAGGGAGGAGGAGACGGAGGAAGGAAGAGCAGAGAAAACAAAGCAGCCACAGAACCAGCGAAGGAAACAGGGGAGTGGTGAGAACAGCCCGCACGACAAAGCAGCCCACTCGGTGTGCCCCCCAAAGGGGCTCTAAGGAGGGCTGGGTTTTTGCGAAGTGCCCCCTTGGGCAAGGGAGGGGCTTCTTGATGCCCTTCTGATGCAGAGAGCACTGGGGGGGAGAGTAAGGTTGCTGGCTCCTAATTAAGGCAGGCTGAAATGGCTGAGAAAGAGTAAACTGTGCATCGCAAGTCAGCGCCTGAATAAATAAAATAAACCCTAAGCAAACGGACAACAGGCTGGCAAGTTGTACTCACTCCCCTTATCTATTGAACCATCTAGGAGTTTAAACTTATAAGAGAAAAGTCCCACTCCCAGATGCTTTTAGCAATTAAGGCACTCTGAACCTGCACCATCTACTTCCAAGAATAAATTCCTCCTTGTGGTCATGAATCAGGGGCAGGCAGCTGTCTTTTTGTAGCAGGGAACCATGGTTTTTAATCTTGGGGGTGGGGGGGAGAGAGAAGGCTGCCAAGGCAGTAACAGTGAGGCAGGGGTGTCACCGGGATGGGGGTAGGGTTGGATTTTGGGGGGGCCTTTTGGTGGGTTTGCAGAAAGTTTAAAGTGGAAAATAGTACGATGATGATGATGATGATGATGATGATGATGATGATGATGATATCATCATCACCATCACCACCACCACCATCATCTGGGGGGGACTGAAGGTGTCTCCTTCTGAATCACCAGCTACCTAGCGAAGAGAGCTGGCAATGAGAAGACTCTATATTTAATTTATATACATCAGTGTTTCCAACTCTTGTCAACTATAAGATATTTGGACTTCAAGTCTCAGAATTCCCCAGCTAGCATGCATGGAGTTCAACTCCCAGAATTCCTCAGCCAGCACGAGTGGAGTTCAACTCCCAGAATTCCACACAGCCTTAATTTGCCAAGGTTGAGAAACACTGCTATGTATTTATTGAATGAAAATACTTTCCTACACCCTATTCTATTTATCTGGTATATTTTATCCTGCATTTTAGAAAAGCCCTAACATGGCATAGAACAATCAGAAACAGTAAAAAAGCCTCTTCTTCAAACATTTCAAGCAGGAACGTCCACCACCAAAATAATTTATTTTAAAAATAATAAGAGTAAATTAAACAGAGGCGGTGGAACAGTTGTTGGTCCGATGTAACTCATCAAATCTTCCTAGTTCTGAGACGTTCGGCTTTCCTGAGGGTTAACGTAACGTGGGTTGTACAGTATTGGTTTAATCAGGAAGAGAAACGCCAACATGTCTTCACGGAGTTGGCATTTAATCTGCGCATTAACAAACATGCCTCGCTCTGTTCCTGGACTACACAATTCCCTGCATTAAATGCCCAGAATGAGCCCACCCAAGCTTAAGGCATTTTGGTTAGCCTTTGAGGTCCCAGGAGATTACGGTGCTTAATTTCTTTTACGTTTACCCCTCTTGGTTGGGCTGTCTGTTTCCCACCACTCACATATGGGGCCGCGAAGGAGAATTCTCGCAGAGAGAATGCCTCCCCCCGGTTACACCAGAGTCACAACCCGCGGGGTTTCTTCTCCCAGGACAACAAATCCTCTCAAACGAAAACATGGATCTGCCTGGAAAACCCTCTCCTGAGCACCCAGATGCCAACCGACCCCCCAAAGAGCATTAACGCGCCACTGAATGGGATATATTTGCATGCCAGTCAGGCCAAGGCAACACTGGTCTTCTGCGCTAGTGGAAACGCGCCCGTTATAGTTTCGCCAACCCATTTCTGTTGGAAGGGTCAGCCTGACCTGATGAAGCCAAGGACAGTCCAGGAGAGGGGAAAGGAACTGACTGTCCTGGCTAGGGAGAGTCCGAAGCCCCGGCCCCAGCTTTGGGGGGATTCCTGGAGTGTGTTTGGCTACCTTACAGGCCCAAGTAGCTGTAGCAGCCCAAACCTGCAGGCTGCTTTTCAGGCACAAAGAGGAGGAAGTTAGTGGACCTCTCAGGGTCTGCAACGGATGATTTCACCCCCCCCAACCCCCAACTCTTCCCTTCTGGCAAGCTAAGGATGATAGCAATGGGTAGGACTGGAAAACTGTGCGCAGGATACAGCGCTATTTGAATCCCACAGAACTGAGACCTGAAGTTAGGTCGTGAAATTCTCGCAGATGCTCGTCTTCAAGGCGGGGTATCCTTTGGGCCTGAAGGCTGAGCACGTGGGCGTAGAAACACACCTTTGCGCAGAGGGGACTGGCAAGCCAAGGAAAAGGTCAACCTGCCATGCTCTGCTTTGTTTTTTAGAGGTCCATCACCAGGCCCAGAATGACTGGTTCTCCACCCAACCTTAACGCTCTGAAGGCGGATGGCACGACGGCCTAGGGACCTTCTTTCTCCTCGCCTGCTACGAAGAAGTGTTATGATGTGTTGGGCGCTTCTTGAGAAAAGGGACAGGCTGGCCAGGCAGGGAGAATCAAGCAGGTTCTTTCCCCCTCCTTTCCGGATGGGATCGCCAAGCCCAACACCTCCTTCCCTTGTCCACTGGCAGACCTCTCCTCCAAGCCCCGCTTAGAGAAAGACCCTTGGTTTCCTGGGCCTTCAGAAGAGCGGAAGGTGCAAAGAGAAAGCTGCGTGCAGAAGAGGGTCCCGAGAAAGATCCAACCGGGAGCAAAATGTGGAGTAAGTTAAGAGGGAAGAGAAAGTGACCCAAACAGGGAAAGAGAGTGGGGAAAAAAAGATAAAAATAAGAAGACGCAGGAGAAGAGGAGGTTCTCTCCTCTCCCAAGTGCTAGAAGTCGGAAACAGAACTCACTTTCCCATTGGGCAGCTTTTGGGCCCCCTCTTTAGAAACAGCAGTTTTACTGGTAGTCATTTTAGATACCGCATTGAGTTCAGGCTTTCGGGCAGCCCCGGCTGATTCTGCCTTTCTCTCTACTTTGGCCTAAATGGAGACAAAGGGAGGAGGGCTTTGACATCATGAGAGTTGCAAAAATATTCATCATCATCACCCCATCCCCAACCCCATCATCACGTGCCACTGATGGGCTGTTGAAGCAACTTCTAGGATATCGGCAGAGGGTAATCTTCAGGAGGGTTGATTTTATTTTATAATATTTTAGTTAGGTTTTTTTCCCCCAAATTTCTTCCCCGCCCCAATCCAGAGACTCTCTCCGGGTGAGTTGGAGGAGGTAAGCCGAAGTTGGAAATGCTCAAAGTGAAACTCCACAGAAATCAGAAACCTGCGTGGAACCCGCTCCGTGCAAAAGTGGGGCTTAGCCTCCATTGGTCTTGCAGATGCAAACTTGGCGTAAATGCCCAGGGAGGAGGGGGGGACAGGTCAGAGGAAAGTTTGCAACCGTTTGCCCTCGGTTGTGAATTCTTATTTTGGCTAAATAGCAGTTTTCAAAAGGAGGAAAAGGTCCCAACTTCTTGCATCAGCTCTTGGACGGCTCTTCAGGTTCTTTTAGGGCAGTGCCTTTCAACCTTGACAACTTTAAGAGGTGTGGACTTCAAATCCCAGAACTCCCCAGCCAGCCTGTTTCAGCTGAAGTTCATACCTCTTAAAGTTGCCAAGGTTGAAAAGCACTGTTTTAGAGTATCACAATTCCCCAGCCAGAGGGCAAGTTTCTAACTGCCCCCAAATTCCCAAGAATTCCTTTCTTTCTACCCATTTGACAAAAATATTAAGGTTTGAAGTCAGCATCGCTCTCGAGTAAAGGTAGTCCTCACTTAACGACCATTCGTTTAGTAACCATTCAAAGTTACAACGGTGATGAACAAAGGGACTTACAACCAGTCACAGCACCCTCAGAGTCATGTGTTTGCAATGTGGGCGCTTGGCAACCAGCTCACGCTTACAACGCTTGCAGCATCTTGGGGGTCACATGGTCACCGTTTGCAAACTTCCCAGCTGGCTTCCAGCAAGCAAAATCAATGGGGGATTATGTGATTTGCTTAACAGCTATGATTCGCTTAACGACCATGGTGATTTGCTTAATGACCGCTGCAAAAAAGGTCATAAAATTGGGCATGACTCGCTTAACAACCATCCTGCTTAACAACAAATTTTCTGGTCCCTGTTGTGGTTGTTAGGTGAGGACTACTGGTAGCTCCAAAGCATGGCCGCCTCGGGTTGCCTTCAACAACTAAACACCAACAAGTTATCACAGTGAGATAGGATTCCACCTTTATTACCACTCCTGGTGTCCCATGTTATTTCTCAACTCTTTCAAACCAGAGAAAGGCGCTTGTAATCAGACTGGGGTTTATAAAACTAGGTGGGCTTCCACCGTTAGCCTGCATTTTTTCCCAAATGAAAACAACTCAGCGAGGCAGAAAACATTTCTAGGCATTAACAAATGGTCCGGGAACTCCAGCAATCAAAAAATACCGAAGGCTTGATTTACACCAGAGATCTGACTGCCGGACAAAGAGAAGGACATTGGGAAGAACGGGGAGAAAACAATTAGGCTGCAGATGTTCCCGTTAAAAGCCCATTTTTTCAATGACAGGGTGGGGTGGAGAAGTTGTAGCCCTCCGCATGCTGTCAAGATGACCCCCCCCCCACACCAGCCCGGTTAGCCGACCTGCTGGGAATTATATGTCAACGCTATATATGGAGACACAGGTTGTCCAACCTCTGCTGCAGAGTCTCAACCCAGGCCAGAAGGAAGACATCTGTGGAGGATGGCAGGCAACGGCTGTTCTTCTGGAGCAGTTGCCTGCTGGATGGGACGGGGTTGCTCAGCACCTGGAGAGCTACCCCCTTCCAGACACTCCTTCTCCTTCCCAACCCCACTCCAAGGAAGATGGTCAGTTCACTTGGGGATTTATTTCCCTTTTCCCTCCCATTGCCAGTTTCGTCCACTCAAATCAGAGCCAAGGAGAACCAACTGGACCATTTGCTGGACATTAAGCCTGCCGGAAGCAGGGTATCAGCAGGGGATTATGTGACGGAGGGAGGGGAGGGGAGATGAAGGACATCAAGGTACCCATTTGTTTCGGCTTTGCCCCAATGCAACACACTGTAATTGAAAGGTTTTTAACCATCCCCATGGTCAATTCTATCAAGAAACTGCTCCATCAGAATCAGCTTCTAGAACAGTGTTTTTCAAACATGGC